TGTCTGCAAATATTGCCAAATGCTTTGTGGGAGGCAGAATCATCCCCAGTAAAGAACACTGAGTTAGATCAATGAGAAGATGACATTTAAGTTCAGAAAAATTCAAATCAGGAAATGTTTTGGTTTATCTCTGAATTTCTTTGTTTTATAAGCACCAAGTAATTGTTTAACACTTTAGAATATTTTCTAATCATTAAACCAGTATTTTGTGATGCTATGTGAACACATCCCCAAATAGTCTCCTCATCTTTTTGCTTTCTGATGTATTTTATGATTTATTGAACCTTTATGTGTTTAAAAAAAAAATAAAAATAGCAAGGATTTCCAAATAGAACAGCTTTGTGACATAGTTTATAGTACAGTCTCTGTATAGTGAGTCTGGAAACAAAATACAGACCACCCTTACTGGGGCTGATTTGGCACACTGTCTAACTTTGAAATTGTAGATCTATAACTTAGAAACTATCTCAGTCTACTGTATAAAGCACTTGATCTTTTCTGTCATTGATTTGGACAGAAAGCAGGGCACTGAAAACCTTTCCTGTAAAACAAGAGTCAACAAACTTTTTCTGTAAAGGACCAGAGAGTAAACAGTTTAGATTTTGCAAGGCACACAGTATGTGTTGTAATTATTCAGCTCTGCCCTTATAAGGAGAAAGCAACCATAGACAATATGTAAATGAATGGGTGTGGCTCAGTTCCAATAAAGCTTTATTTACAAAAGCAGGCGCGACCCCCCCCCCCAAACTTTTGGAGTAGAAATGTGATAAAATGACTTGTGCTAAAATTTTTGGCTCTTAGAGTTTGTTTTTCACCTTTCCTGTTTATTATGTACATACTATAGCATTATCTTGACATCTCCCTTGGTTTGTTTTATTCTGTTTCTTGCTCCTTGATTTCTTATTTTTCTTGATACAGCCTAAAAAGTTCTCTTAAGATTATGCTTTTATAATTCCATGGTTGATAGGACATCCAGTAATGTTTGTCTTAGGATGTTTAAAGCAATTGGTTCCTTTTATGCTATGACTTTGGAAAAAAATACTATTTGAGGGTTTCTATCAAGTGAGGAAGGATTAGGCTGCAGAATTTATTAACGAATGATGAGTAAGTACTACAAGATACTGGTTCAGTCAAGATGGAGTAGGCACACTCCTCTCTCTCTCCCTAAATGCAACTAAGACAGAATGCATTGAGCAGCTAGCTGTCTGAGGACTGAAAAGAAAATGTTAGGTGGGTTGGAGAAGGAAACCGGAACTTAAAATACCACTGAACCAGTGGTGAATTTCCTGTTTTCTTTTTCCCTTTGGTATCTCCTAGCTTGGTCTCAAAGGCAGCCAGAAACCTAGGTATAGATAGAAAAACCTCCAAGAGAAAGAAGCCCTTTATTTCTTGGTCAGAGAGAGTGGGGGAACTCCCTTTTTTTTTTTTTGTTTCATTTTGCTCCCCCTCCCTCACCCCTTCTCTCCTGCCCCAGCACCCAGGCAGTCCTGTGGCAGAGGTGGTGACCAGGCAGGTACCTAAAACTCCATGGGGAGCTCCTCTCTTTGACGAGAGGGACTGGGGTGCCACAAATGAAGAACATCAAGGGAACCCTGTTGGTCTATTTTGCTCTGTCCTCACTCCAAAACTTGGCCCCAGAGGGAGAGACAGTTGTGGGAAATATGCTAAAAGTAACTAAAGTTACTAAAGTCCTAGCTTTCTAGCCAGAGGACCAAGAAAGGGGTCCCCCTGGGAGCCAGGATTGTCAGGAGATCTGGAGAGGAGGTAGTTGAAGAAAATGAATCCTATAAAGCTGTGTATGGATCCCTCAGAGCTGCTAATGCATGGATCTGACCCCGGTTCTAGATGCCACTGAATAGCACATAAGGGGAACTGATCTGAATAGCATGGCAAAAGCTTTCATAACTAAACTGACATTGGAACCATATCCCACAGAAGTTGGGTTAGAACTTGAATTGGATCTGAACTTGAAGCCTGCTAAAACAACAATTTTTTAAACATGATCAAAATGTCCAAGATGGAATCCTAAGTTACAAGACATACAAAGAACCAGGAAAACCTAAACATTTCTCAAGGGAAAGACAATCAGCTGACACCAACCTTGAGATAACACAGCAAGATTTTAAAGCAGCTATCAACCATTGTACAAGAAGTAAGGACAAACCCTCGAATAGGGAGGGAGAAAGGGGGAGTTTTTGCTTAGGGAGCGTTGAGTTTATGTTAATGGTGGTGGAATAACTTGAAAAGGATAGCAGTAATGGTTGGACATAGAAAGAATGTAATGTCACTGAGTTTATACATGTAGAAATTGTTGAATTGGTGAATGTTTTATTGTGTATATTTTCACTACAATAAAAAGGGCAAACACTTTAAACAAAAGGAAAGATAAAAAGTTTCAACAGAAGTAGACAACACACAAACCAAAAAAAAAAAAAATGGAAAATTTGACAACTGAAAATTAAAATAACTAGAATAAAATAAATTTGCTGGACTGGCTTCAGTAAAATTGAGATGATGGAAGAAAAAGTGAACGAACTTGAAGATTTAAAAAAAAAAAAAAAAGTTGCTGTTAAGTCGATTCCAACTCATAGTGACCCTGTAGGACAGGGCAGAACTGCCCCATAAGGTTTCCAAGGAGTGGGGGGTGGATTTGAACTGCCAACCTTTTGGTTAGCAGCCCAACACTTAACCACAGTGCCACCAGGGCTCAGAACTTGAAGATAGGTCAGTAGAAGTTATCCAATCTAAACAACGAAGAGAAAAAAGATTGGTGAAGGAGGGATAAGAGGAGTGAACAGAACCTTAGAGACTCGTAGGACAATAGCATAAGGTATAACATTCATGTCAGTAGATTTTCAGAAAGAGAGGAGGGAGTGTGTTTTAGAAAAAGTATTTGAGGAAATAATCCACATTTAGATTCATCATTATAATGCCAGATTCAACAAATAGTTGGAGGGCCTGTTGTGTGATAAACTGAGCTGGGCAGTGGGATCAGAAATAGTGGTGAGTTTTAAAACATGCAGTCCCTAACCACATGGAGTGACTAGTGGGATTGTCATGAATACCAAAATAGCTGCACAGAAAATATTGTTGAAAGCGTTGTAAGCTTTGCATAACTTGCATAACTATAATGTTCTCCTTCACTCTCAAAAATGACCTGGTTTTGAGTAATTGAGCTTATGGTGCCATTTCTTTCTTTCATGTTTATTTTATTGTGTTTTAGGTGAAAGTTTACATAGCAATTATATTTCCATCCATTCAGTTTCCCTGCCCCTCCTTGCCTTCTCATCTTTGCTTTTGTGGAAATGTTGACTGTTTGGTCTCCCATAGTTGATTGTGTAAGGGAGCACATTGCTCACGAGTAGGGTGTTGTCGTTTATTTTATAGGCCAATTTTTTGTTTGGCTGAAAGGTGACTTCTGGGAATGGCTTCAGTTACAGATTAAAAGAGTTTCTTAGGGCAGTAGTCTTAGGGGTTCCTCTAGTCTTTGTCAGTCCAGTAAGTCTGGTCTTTTTTATGAGTTTGAGTTTGTTCTACAGTTTTCTCCAGTTCTAACCAGGAACCTTCTATTGTGTCCCTGGTCAGAGTGGTCGGTAGCAGTGGCCAGGCATCTAGTTCTTCTGGTCTCCGTCTAGAAGGGCTTGTGCTTCACATGAGCAATGGACTGATTGCTTCCTTGAGTATTAGATTTCCTTCACCCTTCTTTGCTCCAGACAGGAAACCAATAGTTGTATCTTAGATGGCCGCTCGCAAGCTTTTAAGACCCCAGATGCTACTCACCAACAACTAGGACGTAGAACGTTACCTTTATAAACTAAATTATGCCAATCGATTTAGCTGTCACACAAGACCGGTCCTGAGCCTTCAAACCCAGTAAGTCAACCCCCCAAGGTGTTTGAGTGTGTCTAGGAAGTATCCATAACTGTGCACCCCCCCATGTGCTTTATTGTATATATGAATATAAACATACAAACATGTATATACATATGCCCACAAATCTATGTGCATGTGCCTGTACTCCCATATGGTATACATATCTACCTGTGTAACCACTCACATAATTTTTGCTTATTACTGTTGTTGTGGTGCCCCTCTTTCTAGGAAGAGAGAATAGAATGTGGAAAAGCTCATTGTAGCTGGAGTGCAGAAAATGGAAACAGATATAGTTGTATGTATGTAATGTATGTTTTATTTGGTTAGATTGTTCTTGTTTCTGATTCACTGTCTTTAAATTATAAAATTGTCTTAAGTCAGGCAAGAAGGAGGATGCCCGAAGATCTGAAGATTAGAGGTTTATTCTCTGAAGAGAATAAAACAGGATATTTCTGAAATGAGGGACACCAGGTACTGTTGAGAGATATGGACACTATACTGAAAACAGATTAAATGAAAGCTGTACAGTGAATAAGGAAGACTGAAGAATTGATGCCTTTGAAATATGGTGTTGGCAAAGAATATTGTGAATGTACCATGGACTGCCAGAAGAACAAACAACTTTGTCTTGGAAGAAATACAGCCAGAATGCTTCTTAGATGCAAGGATGGTAAGACTTATGTCTCACATAGTTTGGACATGTCATCAGGAGGGACCAGTCCCTGGAAAAGGACATCATGCTTGGTAAAGTAGAGGGTCAGTGAAAAAGAGGAAGACCTTAAAGAGATGGATTGACAGTGGTTGCAACAATGGGCTCAAACATAGCAACCATTGTGTGGCTGGCACAGGCCGGGCAGCATTTCATTCTGTTGTACATAGGGTCACTATGAGTCAGAACCAACTCGATGACACCTAACAATACCGCTTTGGGCCCTGGAACAACATGAAGAATGTGATGTTGGTATTCATAAGAGAAGCTGGAACAATACAAAGAACGTGCTGACAAATACAAAATATGTGGTCTTAATTTTTGGAAAACTTCTACGTGTCAGAGCTTTGTAATTCTTATGAGAATAGGCAAGTGCTGTTATGGATTAATCTTTTTTTTTTTTTTTTTTAAATAATAGGTCCGAGTGGGATATACTTTTGAAGGATGTGCAATGTTCAATCATAAGTGTGACAAAAACTGACAAGCAGGAAGCTTATGTACTCAGGTAGGTCTTACAGAACAAGTGTTAGCTAGCTAATTTCAGTCTGGATCATGCTTTACATGGAACTTTTTTCTCTCAATCTTAGTTCTATAATCATTTTTACCTTATTTTAAAACATAAAATGTTTACTTTAGATGTCCCTGGGCAGTAGGTTCTGAAGCCTTACCTAATAACTCTTCAAGCTGGTTGTCATCTTTACCTCCTTGTAGTTAGGAGGAAGTATCTGTAAAGGAGGGCACATTGCATTGTACCTCTACCCCCTAACTCCAGGGGCAAGTTCTTCCTTTTTAGCACATGCCTCCCAATATCAGAATGTCTGACAAAGTGAAAATCAGCCTCACTGTACAAATAGGGTTGCAGTCTTGGTATACAAATGAAGAGAGCCACTCATCCTTTTTATGGGTGCAGAGTTTATTCATTTAGTAAATACTTCGAGTGCGTACAGTATCTATTGTTACAGGCTTTGGGACTGTTGGATTGAATGGGTGTGTAAGGTCCCTGCTGTTTACTAAGCTTGTGTTTGGCATATACAGATGTTTATCAAATGTTTACTATGTGCCAGATGCTGGGAATATCATAGTGAGTAAAACAAACATCCCTTTCCTGGAGGAGCTTATTACCTAGTGGAGGAAATAATCGGATGCTTATAAAAATACATGTGAGAGTGAATGGCATAAGATGAGGTAGTAAAGTATGGATTTAGTAAATAATGTTAGGCATACACCAGTGTCACTTTGGTAGGCTGTTATATATAGTCAGTCATCTGAAACTTTTTATACCCAAATTCGTATGTGAATACATTATCCTCAGAAAAAAGGCATAGAAAGATCTTCTGGTATCCTCAGATACTTGTGTGCTAGAATACTGATGAATCTTTGGTCACTCGTGAGGTGAGGAGGAAAGTTTACTAGTAAAGAGGGTTTGTGTAATACGTTTTAATATGCTTTATATTTAATTGAAGGCCTGTTTCTACGAGGCTGAAGAATTTTAAACTGATTGTTGTAAAGTAGAAGAGGAAGAATACTGTAGCAGAGAATTTGCATCCTTGAGATTCTAACATTCTAGCCAAGAATCACATTGTAAATGATAGTGCAATGATAGATTAATTGCATCCTCAGTAGTAGGTAAACATTATAACATTGTTGTGGCTTTTTTCAATTGCAGTGAGAGTAGCATGTTTGTCTCCAAGAGACGTTTCATTTTGAAGACATGTGGTACCACCCTCTTGCTGAAAGCACTGGTTCCCCTGTTGAAGCTTGCTAGGGATTACAGTGGGTTTGACTCAATTCAAGTAAGTGATTAAAAAAACATGTAATCCTTTTTATCGGGCATAAATCTTAGGATAGTTATCCTGTGATATGCCTAGTAATGTTATATACTTAACGCTTCAGTTACAGTACGTAAGAATGTGGTAAGATAGTAATGCCACAGGAGAACAAGATCTGTTGAATGTTCAGCCTATTGCTTAGGACCAAAAAGGGTTTTTGTTTGTTGTTAACTGTTGGTCCTTGTAAGAAATATAAAGCAATATGTTCTTCACTTTTGGATCACTGCCATTTTAAAACTTGAGAAATTATATACCCTTTCTCTAGAAAAATACATATAATGTTGTCTAACAGATTTTTTTATGCCATTTCAAAGTCCAGATTAGAAACCACTGCTCTAAGAAAGAAATATTTTCCCATCATCAGTAAAACTGAGCATTTTTTAGTTCCTAGAAACTCACTACATTAAAACATCTACATTCTTATGTCTCTGTTGAGTTGCTTCACAACTTATAAAAAGGGAAATTTGGTGTTTTGTGTAACACTAACTCGGGTATTGGTCTAAAATCTTGCCGTCATGGTCTGACACAGTGGCCCTCGTTTTTTGGGTTTTTTTTTTTTTTGGTCTGCTACCAAAAGGTTGCGTATCCATTTAATACATTTTTTAAAAAAACATGGAGTTAAATATATATTTCTTCTATATTCCAGAACAACAAAACATTGTAGTAAGTGTACATTAATCTAAGACTGTGTTAGGATCACCTCAGGTAGTTTATATTTGTAGAGGAAGAATTTTTTTGCTGATATGTATATGCAGAAAACAATGTCTTAAATTATCCGTTTTTTTTAGAGCTTCTTTTTTTTGTTTTTTTGTTTTTTAGAGCTTCTTTTATTCTCGTAAGAATTTCATGAAGCCTTCTCACCAAGGGTACCCACACCGGAATTTCCAGGAAGAAATAGAGTTTCTTAATGCAATTTTCTCAAGTAAGTTTAAGTGGAATTGAAACCAGCTTTTTTCCTAAAGTTACAGTGTAAAGGATCAGGAAAGCCAGTGCTGATACTGTGACCTTTTAAAAGTAATATATGACATAGTAAAAAGGATATATAGTGATAAGTAAACTTCCGTTTCAACCCTGTCTCCCAGCACCCCAGTTAGTTTTATTCCTCAGAGATAGCGGCTAACCAGTTTTTTGTATATCCTTTCAGAAATCTTTTGTATATATGAAAGCATATTATGCAAACGTATAAATATATAATGGGGGTGTGTGTGTGTGTATGTATATAGACACACAGTTTTTCATCCTCTGCTTTTTTTAACTTGGATGTCATTTTTATCAGTGCAGTAGTGATCTTTTTAAAAGGAATTTCTAGGTTAATATTCATATAATCTTTACACCATGAGAATCACTGTTGAGATAAATGTATCTCTAAGTTAATCACAAATTTTATTGTGTGTGCATGCACATGCATACTTGTAAAAATAATTATGAATCCCAGGTCAGTGGTGTTGAAAATAAGAAAATCAAGGAATTGATCACCTGCCGCCTCTAGTTTTTCATATAGCAGAGAGAAGAGTTCATCTTCATCTAGCTAGTTGCTCTAATTTATGTCTAACTCACTGCTCCTTAACATATAGATCATATATCCTTTGACAATATGGAGGAGGCTGTCATGCCTTCTCTGAAAAAAATGCTCAGTGGCTTCAGAGACCACTGAGTTAAGGAACTCTGGTCCAGGCATTCTATACAGGAATTGCACTGGCTTAAAAATGGTCAGCATGGTGTGATCATAGCATTACTTGAACTAAATTGGCAAAAATTTCTTACTTCCTTTTACTAAATGTAATTATACACCTTTTTTCATAAGTTTACCCTTTAAGGTCAGAGAACTAAAGATTAATATAATACCTTTATTTCCTAGATGAGACTGAAAACCCAGGATTGATTTAACAGCTTGATTTAAATCTCCTGATTTCTATCTCATTTTTCATAACTTACACTTTTAATACAAAACTTTAAATGCTAGGCTATACAAGAGAATGCTGGCCATTTAGTGTAAATATGTACTAGGTGTTGATTTTTACTTTGTTGAGTGTTGAAACGATATGTGAAGGAAGTATTAAATATAAAATGACCCTTACTTACTTGAGAGAGTAGGTAAACGAGTGACCAAATGACGAGGGGCTATAGGGGGAAGGTAAGCAGTAGTTTTCTCAACACCATTTAGACCATGGCCCATCGGCTGAAGTGTATTGCTAAATGACAGCCAGTGAATTATTTTCTTTCAGGGGGGTTTGGGGGATCCCACCTGTGAATTCAGACACTTAGTTACACTTCAGTATTCTCCTTAAATTTCCCTTTACCAATGACATTCTGATAGGTGACAAATAGCATACCATTCTGCTTACTCGTAATAAGCCATCTTGTTAAAATAGGTCTGTTATATTTATTTTAACATTCTCTTCCCTTAACAGATGGAGCAGCATATTGTATGGGACGTATGAATTCTGACTGTTGGTATGTTTGACATAATTTTATGGATTTTTGTGTGTGTGTGTGTGTAAGATTTATTTTAAACTGCCAGTCATCAATTTTAGAAACTGTTTTTACTCTTATATAGGTACTTGTATACTCTGGATTTCCCAGAGAGTCGGGTGATCAATCAGCCAGATCAAACCCTGGAAATTCTGATGAGTGAGCTTGACCCAGCAGTTATGGACCAGTTCTACATGAAAGATGGTGTTACTGCAAAGGACGTCACTCGTGTATGTATTTAAAAAAATAATTGTTGGATTCTTCTGTGTGGGCAACACAGAATTTTTGTGTAGCTTGTTATCAATGTATTTTTCAAATTTTCTTTGTTTTTAATTCAGCCTTTTGCCTTTTATCTAGGAGAGTGGAATTTGTGACCTGATACCAGGTTCTGTCATTGATGCCACTCTGTTCAATCCTTGTGGGTATTCAATGAATGGAATGAAATCGGATGTAAGTAATTATCTTGCCTCAATAAAATTTAAATATTAAAATGTACCTTTTCCATTATTAACACAAAACTGTTTCTCTTAAGGGAACTTATTGGACTATTCACATCACTCCAGAACCAGAATTTTCTTATGTTAGCTTTGAAACAAATTTAAGTCAGACCTCCTATGATGACCTGATCAGGAGAGTTGTGGAAGTCTTCAAGCCAGGAAAATTTGTGACCACCCTGTTTGTAAATCAGGTAATTTGTTTTATTATTGACAGTAAAATCTTTAAGGAAACAGAGATGGTAAGAAATGTCGTAAACTATATATTCTAGATTCACACATACCTACTCAGATATCTGGAGGTACCTAGTAGAAGTTACTGATAGATGAGATTTATGTATATCAGCAGAATTACATTGGTCTTTGTTTTATATGTAGCCCAAGTGTTGGGCTCCTCTTGTCTTGTTTTTCCGTGTTGACAGGCCTGGTAGTGGACTATAAGATGTCCCACATCTGTCCAGCCCCTAGGAAACTAGCTAAAATGCTCATGCCACAGTTTCATTAAGATAGAAGTCATGGAGAGATGCAAATCAGAATCACAGTGAGATAACATTTCACTCTCACTAGGATAGCTGAGGTTTAAAAAATAAATAAATAGCAAATATGGTGGGGACGTGAGGAAATTGGAACCCTTACCCATTGCTGGTGGAAATGCAAAGTGGTACAGCCATTTTGGAAAACAGTGTTGTAGTTCCTCAAAAAACTAAAAAATAGAACTACCATATGATCCTGCAATTCCATTCCTAGGTATAAACCCAATAGACTTGAAAGCAGAGACTCAGACTTGTACAACCATGTTCATTACAGCACTATTCACAGTAGCCAAAAGGTGGAAACAACCTAAATGCCCATCAACAGATGAATGGATAAAAAAAATGTGGTATATAGATACAATGGAATACTACTCAGCCAGTAAGAGAAATGAAGTCTTGATACATGCTACAGCATGGATTGAGGTGGAGGACATTATGCTGAGTGAAATAAATTAGTCACAAAAGACAAATATTGTTATGACCTTACTTATATAAAAAGATAAGAAAAGGCAGATGTATAGAGCACAGAGTTTATTAGTGGTTACCAGGGGCAGGAGGGAGGGGAAAAAAGGGGTAACAGTGATGGAAATAATCACATTAAGAGTAGGGTTGCACAGCCAATTACAGTAGTTGCTGTCAGTAAGTTGTACGCCTGTAAAAAGTTGAATTGGCAAAAGTGTGATAGATACATTACAACAACAAAAAGTAGCTGCTGAGGTTGCTTATGTACAACCAAACACCTTAGGGATTTGGTTTCTTGGTTTGGAGGTTTAGGGTCATGGTTTCATGGGACATCCCAGTTAATTGGCCTAATAACATGTTTAGTGCTTCTGTTCTACCTCCTAGTTTGTTGCATTGTGCCTGGAATCTTAAAAACCTGCAAGCAGCCATCCAAGGCACAACAGTTCGTCAACAGTTGATCTAAACAGAGGAAGAAGGAGAGTCAGGAATGGGAGGAGGAAATGGAATGTGTGGCCAATTGCTTCCATGAACAACTGCCTCCTTTGCCAAAAGACCAGAAGAACTGGATGGTGCCTGGCTACCATCACTAAACATTTTTTGATCAAAGATTCTGTAGAAGAATTCCTGATCAAAAGGGGGAAAATCAGAACAGAATTGAAAATTCTTATGGACGCCAGACTTCCTGGAGCCATGAAAGTTGGATGAACCCCTGAAACTATTGCCCTGAGATAATCTTTAAACCTTAAACCAAAAATACCCCCTAAAGTCTCCATAAAACCAAACAGTAGTCTGGCTTAACTAGTAAAAACTGTCTGCCTTGAGAATTATGCTCTTTTAACAACTATCTCTGTGGGATCAAATCGACAACAGCAACTCCAAAGATTAGATAGGAACCTTAGGGGGCAGTGAATTTATGCTAATAGGGAGAGAAACAACTCATAAAAGGAGGGTGAGAACGGTTGCACAACTTGAATGTACACTTACTAAATGGTACTTGTAAAAACTGTTGAATTGGTGTATGTTTTGCTGTGTACTCAACAAAAATTTTTTAAAAACTATAGAAGTCGTAAATATTTATTGCATGACTATTCTGTTTGAAAGTACTTACGTAGGTTTGAAGCACTAATTATTATTTGAATTTTTCCCCAGAGTTCTAAATGTCGCACAGTGCTTTCTTCACCCCAGAAGATTGAAGGCTTTAAACGTCTTGATTGCCAGAGTGCTATGTTCAGTGATTACAACTTTGTTTTTACCAGTTTTGCTAAGAAGCAGCAACAACAGCAGAGTTGATTAAGAAAAATGAAGAAAAAACTCAAAAAGAGAACACACATAGAAGAAGGTGGTGGCTGCTTTCTAGATATTGATACTGGGGGCCATGCTTTCCATAACCACCACCTTGTAGTTGCAGAAAGCCCTAGATGTAATCATAGTGTAATCATTTTGAATTGTATGCATTATTATATCAAGGAGTTAGATATCTTGCATGAATGCTCTCTTCTGTGTTTAGGTATTCTATGCCACTCTTGCTGTGAAATTGAAGTGCATGTAGAAAAAACCTTTTACTGTATGAAACTTTACAACACTTATAAAAACAATTCAGTCTGGTTTATGCACAGTGTAATATTTCTCCAGGTATCACCCAAAATTCCCCACAGACAAGGCTTTCGTCCTCATTAGATGTTGGCCTCAGCTGAACCATCTGGGACTGTTCTATTAAATTGCTGCCAGAATTTTACTTCAGTTACCTCCAGTTTCTAGAACATATTCTCTATGAATGTTATTAAACCAATTTCTACTTCATACAGATGTTTTTGCAACAGCAATTAAAGTTTTTCTTCCACGAGTCAAGTCCTCTTAAGAAAATGATTGCAGTTATTCATTTTATGTATTACTATTTTAACATTATTGCTCCCTGTATTTGTAGTCCTTTGATTGATTTCTCTCCTCACCATGGCATGGCCCCTCCTGCCCCTGGTCTCTCCAAATAGAGCAATGCACTGTCACACTGTGGGTTTATACTAATACCCCAGAGGAGGGTAGACCTTGGGCTCAATTTTCATCTAAGTTCAAGTGAATTTGACCTCCTCTTTATTGTCATGGGCTCTTTTGGAAGATAATGACAAAAATAAACTCTAGTGTTGCTTGGCAAGAAAGATCCATAGAGTGTTGTAGATTGAGATGAGATTATACTGGCAGAACTATATGGAAACTTTATACCATTCTTTGCCCCCTAGTAAATGAGATTATCTTCTCATGAGCATCATGGCTTTACTAACTTGCTAAGTAAGTAATAGTACAAATGGACTAAATTTATCAGCAGGGAGATTGAGCATAAAGATTGTGCTGGATTCAGTAAGTCAACCCGGTTTGGCTAGTTCACCTTAATTTTACTTTAGCAGCCATTTCCATTAATAATATACTGTAAACTTTGGTTCAAAGCAAAACCAACATCTTTTTCACCTTGTGAACTTTAAAGTTCTATAACTTTGTGATGTGTGATAGTGTTCTGACTTCATCTGTCCCTCTCATTATGGTGTTCCTTTCACCATCACTAGGTAAGATCAAGTGAATTACTGCCCAAAATGAGAATCGTCCAGGTTATTATTGAATCATATGCAGTGGAGCAGAATGCTAGTTATAAAACACAACATACAGAATTCCAAGATAGTCATTTAATGGGAAATGACTAGAAATTTAGACTTTCAAGAGATGGCATCTTTTTATAAGCTAATTTTGCAAATACTATGGGATATAAGCAGCTAAGAGAACAGCAGAGTTGACTAAATTTTGTATTTTTTGTCCTCAAAAAATTTTTTTAAAATTCCTCCTGGATTGATGCAGTGATGTTTTGTTCCTTCCATATTTATAAATGAAACTTTTTTTAGTGTTTCTAAACATAAAATCTGCTTGGTTTGAAATCAGGTGGTTGGAACACTGTTTTGACTTTTATTTCAAGCATGTTGATTGAAAGCTTCATTGAAGAAGCATGCCGTCAGTGTGATCAGTTTGATTCTGTAAGTAGCACAGCACCTAACGTTTCTGTAATGTGCTCTGTTTTGAGGACCAATACTCAGTGGACTTTGTTCTTGAACAGTATTCCAGTAGATTTGATGACATTTGTTGGCTTGAGGTCTGTTTTTTTTTTTTTAATAGATTTTAAAATTTTAATGTTGAAAAAGTGCAAATTTGTATGTAAAAAAAAGCCTAGCAAAAGGAAACCTATACATTGGATAGTAATCTGAGTTAATGATAGAGGAGGGGAAGTTTTGGTGTGCCATATTTCTCCCTTCATGGTGTTGGACTTAAATCAGTTGAAATGTATTTCTTTACCACGATTTATGCTTCAATAAAAGTTTGCTTAATTCATTGTGTAGTGACATTCACAAACTTAGTATCCTTAACCAAATATACATCTTTACATTTTTATAAATAATTGTAGAAACTCATAATTATTGTGAGAGGATTGTTATGAAGACATCATAAGATCTTTAAGCTCCTGGGGCAATACTTGGTTAATTTGCGTTCAGGTTAGAACATTTTTTGTTAGTGCCTTCATAATTTAAGCTCATGTCAGTGGGAGAGGTAGAAAAGTATACAGTAAGAAACTGAAAATGTGCATTTGGGAGTTAAAGGAGTTGGGGTTTGAGGTCAGAAGTTTGAAGGTAGAAGGTTCCCATCTTTATTAGGGATTGTGCCCTTAAAGTAGGGAGAAAGGGAAGTTGTAAGCTTTATTTCATTCATGGTTATTTCTATTAACTAGAACACAGTTACAAGATGGACCATTTTTCCATGCAAGTACTTATTCTTCACCATCATTACTTTTGTTGGTGCCTCTCTTTTTCCAAAATATCAGCTCTTTCTTGAACAATAAAAACTACCCATCCTCAACTTCAACATATATCCAATATGATTGCTCTTAGATATTTTCACTCTTACATGGGCAGAGTCTGGGGCTGAGCAGTGGGAGTTTCTGTTTTGGAGGCCATCAGAATTTTTCATTGGCAAGATTTCATTTCTTCAGTCTAATATCTTCAATAAGCTGGAAAGAATGTAGTCCTGATTTTTCTCAGGATAAGCCTAAGTTAGAAAATATTTTTCAAAATGAGTAAAGATACAGTGTGAACCTAGGAAAGCAAACTTACATATGTGTGCAATAGCTACTAAACAAGATTGTTTTACAAGAACAGGTAAGTGAATTTTGGCGGCCATTAGCGAGAATCTACAAAGTGCAGGCATTGTGTTACATCACATAGGTAGCAAATGTAATAATATATTATGAAAGTTGTTAGGTGCTGTCAAGTCACCTAAAAGTTAAAGGACTTTTATTCTAGTCTGATAATTGTCACCAGTTTGTTCAATTCCTGGCTCCCTGTCTTCAAACATTGCTACATTCTCATCCACTTTTCCTCCTGTTATAATGGAATAGGTGCCACACCTTTGGATCCCATCCCATCTTCCTTCAGAGGCTTCCATAAATTCTTATAATTTCAACCTCTTGTGAGTTCTCTGCAAGGATTCCTACTGTGGATCACTTCTTAAAAATTACCATTAGTTTGTTAAAATGTTCTAGTTTTCCCACAATACAAACCATAAGTAACAATGCACAAGCACCAGAAGAGAGCCTAGATAACTGGGAGCTCCTAAAAATCAAACACTTAAAAAGAGTGAACCTACAGACTGGGGAAAAAATTTTGGCTATGACAAATCCAATCAGTGCCTAATCTCTAAATCTACAAGATACTGCAAAACCTCAACAACAAAGACAACCCAATTAAAAAATGGGCAAAGGATATGAATAGGCACTTCGCCAAAGAAAACATTCAGGCAGCTAACAGACACATGAAGAAACGTTCACAATCAGCCATTACAGAAATACAAAACTACAATGAGATCTCGTCCCAACAAGGCTAGCATTAATCGCAAAAAATACAAAATAATAAATACTGGAGAGATTGTGGAGAGACTGGAACACTGTTGGTGGGAATGGAAAATGGTACAATCCCTTTGGAAATCGATTTGGTGCTTCCTTAAAAAGCTAGAAATAGAAGTACCATAGGATCCAGCAATCCCACGCCTTGGAATATATCCTAGAGAAATAAGAGCCATCACATGAATAGATATGCACGCCCATGTTCATGGCAGCACTGTTCACAATAGCAAAAAGATGGAAACAACCTAGGTGTCCATCAGCAGACGAATGGATCAACAAATCATGGTATATTCACACAATGGAATACTACACAACGATAACACAGATGAACCTGTGAAACAACATGGAGGAACCTGGAAGGCATTATGCTGAGTGAATTTAGTCACAGAAGGAGAAATATTGTATAAGACCACTATTATAAGAACTCAAGAAAAGGTTTAAACACAGAAGAAAACATTCTTTGATGGTTACGAGGGTGGTGAGAAAGGGGGAGGGTTATTTACTAACTAGATAGTAGGTAAGGATTAGGTGAAGGGAAGAACAGCACACAGTACGGGGGAAGTCAGCACAACTGGACTAAACCAAAGCTAAGAAGATTCCTGAATGCAGTCAAACACTTTGAGGGACAGAGTAGCAGGGGTAGGGGTCTGGGGATCATGTTTTCAGGGGACATCTAGGTCAATTGGCATAACAAAGCTTATTAAGAAAATGTTCTGCATCCTACTTTGGTGAGTGGCATCTGGGGTCTTAAAAGCTTGCAAGTGGCCATCTAAGATGCATCAATTGTTCCCAACCCCCCACACTAAAGGAGAATGAAGAACACCAAAGACACAAGGAAAGTATTAGCCCAAGAGACAGAAAGGGCCACGTAAACCTGAGACTTCATCAGCCTAAGACCAGAACTAGATGGTGCCCAGCTACCACCAATGACCGCCCTGACAGGGAACACAACAGAGAGTCCCAGATGGAGCAGGAGAAAGGTGGGGTACAGAACTCAAATTCTAGTAAGAAGACTAGACTTAATGGTCTGACTGAGACTGGAGGAACCCCGGAAAGAATGGCCCCTGGATTCTCTATCAGCCCAGAACTAAAACAATTTCCAAGCCCCACTCTTCAGATAGGGATTGGACCGGACTGTGGGACAGAAAGTGATACCCGTGAAGAGTGTGCCTCTTAGGTCAAGTAGATTCAAGAGACTAAATGGGCAGCTTCTGTCCGGAGGTGAGATGGGAAGTCAGAGAGAGTTAGTTGCTGGTTGAATGGACATGGGGAATCAGGGGTGGAAAGGAGGAGTGTGCTGTCACAGTATGGGAAGAGCAATTAGAGTCACATAACAATGTATGTATAAATTTTTGTATGGGAAAAAAATTAAAAAATTTTCTAGTTTTCCGCCACTGGCGTTTTTCCTAGCCCTTTACCAGTACCACCAGTTGTCCTTGAGACAGCTCCAACTCTGACTCTTGGCAACCCTGCAGTTGTCAAAGTAACACATGGGATTTTCAATGGCTGATTTTTTTGGAAGTAAATTGCCAGGCCTTTCTTCCCAGGCACCTCTGGATGCGCCTGAACTTCCACGCATGTTAGCTGTTTGCACCACCCAGGGACTCCTTCCTAGTCCCTTAAAAAATGACAAATGTCCAAATGCTTACTCCAAAACTGAACTCCCTTCTCAAACCACTTACTGTACTTTTCATTTTCCTGGATGCTCAAACCAGAAACCTAGGATGAAATTGAGACAAGGTCAAAGCTAGAGGTATGTGACTTAGATGGGAAGAAAATCAATGAGGTGAAGTGTCTCAGATGTCAAAGGATAGGAGGCTGTAGGAAATACAGGCTGCTGTGTTTCCACGAGTCAATTCCAACTCATAGCGACCCTATAGGACAAAGTACAACTGCCTCATAGGGTTTCCTAGGCTGTAATCCTTAACTACAGGAGCAGATCACCAAGTCTTTCCTCTGTGGATCCGCTGGTGAGTTTGAACATCCAGCTTTTTGGTTAGCAGCCAAGCGCTTAACCATTACACCACCAGGGCTCCTAAATATGGGCTAAGAGCCTAAAAATCAGATTTTGTAATTAAACATTTTAATGTGGAAAATTTCTAAAACAAATATTGAACCTTTATATCCTAGCTTCTACAGCCATCAACATTCTGCTTTGGTACATCTGCCCACTCTCCTTACATCCATGCATTTTTTAGGTAAAATTTGTGTAAATTGAAATGCACAAATCTTAACCACAATTTTGATAAATGGATGGGCTTTTTAACCCACACCTCTATGAGGACAAAAAAAATATTCCTTCCCAGGCAATTAAGCATTCCACTCCATCCCCAAGTTAACAATGTTCCACTTTTTTCACCATAAATTAGTGTTGTTCTAAAACTTCAAATAAAAGGAATCACGTAGTATATATTCTTATACAATGCTTTCACTCAGCATGAAATTTTTGAGACTCAGTCATGTATTTCTTTTTTATTGCTGACTAGTATTCCATTGTATAAAAATATACTACAATTTCCATTCTGTCAGTGGGCATTTTGTTGGTTTACAGTTTTGGGCAAATGTGAATAAAGCTGTTACAAATATTCGCATACAAGCACTTTTGTGGCTTCTATGAGGTGTGTAGGGTATCTCATGGTTTTCATCTATTTCTCTTAGTAATGAGCATGTTTCCATGTGCTTACTAGTATCTGAGTGAATTTAAGTTTTAATATTTTTAAAGTTGTTTGTGTGTGTGGTAAACATATAGGTAACCCAAAACATTATTTCAACAATCCCTAATAATGTCTTGAAAAGTTATTAATTTCAATGGAGTCTTTCTTTTTTTTTTTAATGGCACTTTCTGCCTAAAATATATGCCTATCCCCAGATGGTAAAGGTATTGTTTTCTTCTAAAAGCTTTATAGTTTTGGCTTTTATGTTTAGGTCTGTGACCCATCTCAAATTAATTGTTATATGTGGTATGATGTAGGGATTGAGGTTCATTTTTTTCCCATATGATTATCCAGTTGTTGCAGCACCATTTGTGGAAAATCCTTTCTTTATTGAATTACTTTGGTCCCTTTTTAAAAATTCAGTTAATCCTGTAAGTGTAAATCTATTTCTGGAGTGTATTTTCTTTCATTGATCTACTTATCCACCCTGTGCCACTACTACACAGTTTTGAATAACGAGTTTTGTAAGTTCTGAATTCAGGTGGTGTAAGTCTTCTACTTTCATTCTTTTTCAAGACTGCTTTGTACATGTTCTTTGAATTTCCAGGTAAATATTAAAATAAATCTATCAATCTCTATAAAAAAAGCCTGGCGGGATTATAATTTGATTGAATTGAACCTATAGATCAACATGGAAAATTCACATGTTAACAATAGTGAGCCTTCTAATCCATGAAAATGGTATATTTCTCATTTAGGTCTTTAATTTTTCTCTGTTTTGTCTTGCATGATTTTTGGTAATCTGTTCCTAAGTATTTTAGATTTTTTGGTGCTTCTGTAAAAGGAATTGTAATTTTTCCATTTGCTACTAATTTATAGAAATACAATTAATGTTTTTAAAATTTGGTCTTATATCTTGAGACCTTGCTAAACTCACTAGTTTTTTTAATTTCCTTTTCCTCTCATACATGTTCAGCAGAAGTGGAAGAGCAGGTGGGAATAAGGTGAGGGAAGCATGACACACAGGAAGCAAAACTGGAACTCTCAGGGAGGTGCAAGCGCAGGCTGGCCATCAGAGAGGGAGTGCATCCCTGCATTTTGCACACTAGGTGCCTTGCTTGCCTCACCCTTATGTTGGTCCTGTTAAAGGGCGTACATCCTTGTACTGTCCCCAATTTTAGAAGGAAAATACTTAGTAGTCCATCATTAAGAATGATGTTGCTGGCAGTTTTGCGTGGACGCCTACATGGATGCCTTTTATTAAAGTTCCCTCTGTTTCTAGTTTGGTGAGAGTTTTTTTCATCAGTGGTCATGGAGTTTTTGTCAGATGCCCCCTCCCCCCCCCCTTTTTTTTGTATTCATCGAGGTAAGCGTATTTGTTTCCTTCATTCTGTTAAGATATTGTTCCTGTCCTTGTGTGTTTAGTAGTGGAACCTTATTACTGAAATAGTCCAAATAATTTGGGGGCCAAGGAGGCAAATATAAAGGCACTT